TGATTGTGGTTGCAATGCTTTACTGTCTCCTAGGAAAAAAAAATAAATGCCCATTTTTACCTTCAAACATACAGGTGAAACTCAAAAAATTAGAATATCGTGCAAAAGTTCATTTATTTCAGTAATGCAACTTAAAAGGTGAAACTAATATATGAAATAGACTCATTACATGCAAAGCAAGATAGTTCAAGATGTGATTTGTCATAATTGTGATGATTATGGCTTACAGCTCATGAAAACCCCAAATCCACAATCTCAGAAAATGAGAATATTGTGAAAAAGTGCAATATTCTCGTCTCAAAGTGTCCCACTCTAATCAGCTACTTAAGCCATAGCACCTGCGGTTCCTGAGCCTTTAAATGGTCTCTCAGTCTGGTTCAGTAGGAATCACAATCATGGGAAAGACTGCTGACCTGACAGTTGTGCAGAAAACCATCATTGACACCCTCCATAAGGAGGGAAAGCCTCAAAAGGTAATTGCAAAAGAAGTTGGATGTTCCCAAAGTGCTGTATCAAAGCTCATTAATAGAAAGTTATGTGGAAGGGAAAAGTGTGGAAGAAAAAGGTGCACAAGCAGCAGGGATGACCGCAGCCTGGAGAAGATTGTCAGGAAAAGGCAATTCAAAAGTGTTGGGGACTTTCATAAGGAGTGGACTGAGGCTGGAGTCAGTGCATCAAGAGCCACCACACACAGACGGATCCTGGACATGGGCTTCAAATGTCGTATTCCTCTTGTCAAGCCGCTCCTGAACAACAAACAACGTCAGAAGTTTCTTACCTGGGCTAAAGAAAAACAGACCTGGTCTGTTGCTTAGTGGGCCAAAGTCCTCTTTTCTAATGAGAGCAACTTTTGCATGTCATTTGGAAACCAAGGACCCAGAGTATGGAGGAAGAATGGAGAGGCACACACTTCAAGATGCTTGAAGTCTGGTGTGAAGTTTCCACAGTCTGTGTTGATTTGAGAAGCCATGTCATCTGCTGGTGTTGGTCCACTGTGCTTCATTAAGTCCAGGGTCAACGTAGCTGTCTACCAGGAGATTTTGGAGCACTTCATGCTTCCTTCCGCAGACGAGCTTTATGGGGATGCTGACTTCATTTTCCAGCAGGACTTGGCACCTGCCTACACTGCCAAAAGCACAAAAACCTGGTTCAATGACCATGGGATTACTGTGCTTGATTGGCCAGCAAACCCGCCTGACCTTAACCCCATAGAGAATCTATGGGGCATTGCCAGGAGAAAGATGAGAGACATGAGACCGAACAATGCAGAAGAGCTGAAGACCGCTATTGAAGCATCCTGGTCTTCCATAACACCTCAGCAGTGCCACAGGCTGATAGCTTCCATGCCACGCCGCATTGAGGCAGTAATTGCTGCAAAAGGGGCCCAAACCAAGTACTGAGTACATATGCATGCTTATACTTTTCAGAGGTCCGATATTGTTCTATGTACAATCCTTGTTTTATTGATTGCATGTAATATTCTAATTTTCTGAGATTTTGGATTTAGGGTTTTCATGAGCTGTAAGCCATAGTCGTCACAATTATGACAAATCACGGCTTGAACTATCTTGCTTTACATGTAATGAGTCTATCTCATATATTAGTTTCACCTTTTAAGTTGCATTACTGAAATAAAAACTTTTGCACAATATTCAAATTTTTTGAGTTTCACCTGTATGTGCATTTATTATTATTTTTTAAAGGTGGACTTAGCCTTTAATGCAGAGTGCTGGGACTCTTGAGAGGTGTAGTCCACACTGCTAGCCATGTAAAGGAGCAACTGACCTTCACAAATATCAACATGCTCTTGGGCACAGGAGGAGCTCAATAGAATCACCTGGGAAAAGCCTGCTCTCTTGCCATCATGGGAGTCTAGGCAGACACATATGTTGGATCATTGTCTGTAGAGAAGCCAAGCTGGTCGAATCCATCACCATCCATTTGCTGGAGCAGAAGTCACCCAGCAGCAGAGCCGGCATCATAGCTTTCTTTCACACTGTCGCCGAGAGAGCATCCATTGGGTTCATCACTACAGACCGATATATGCCAGATTCAACAGAGTGGAGCTGAAGGCCCCCCTCCATTGCAAAAACCTACTGCTACGTTCCATGAGGTAGTGAGGGGGCCGCAACCCACATTTCTTTCTGCTGTCATACACAGAGCCCCTGAGAGCAGGACATCCATGCATTTGAATGTATGAGAATATTAAAATGATACCATAGCTGACTGATGCCACAAACCTGATGTTGAAATAAGCTAGTATGCTTCACTGTCTGCAGGTCTCTAAAGGTACTCTTGTCAAGTGCACCAACGTTCTTAAAAGACCCCAATGGTAGCCAGCAGAAAAACCATATTAGAGACTGCCCGTATCGTATATTATCCAGCAGCCCCCTTCCCCTTTAGTCCCACTAGTTTTACCATCTACATACAGTATGGTCTGTGCCTAATATCCAATCCGCTTAGGCCAAACAAAACCACCATCAGTGCACGTTAGCAGTAAAGATCCAGTAAAGTTGATAACTTTTATCCCACTAACTGCTTTCCATTGCACTTCAGGTGGTGGTGTTACTGTGTATGCTGATATAGAGGGCTAAATTCCAAACCTGCCTTACACTTTGGCTGTAAATGCCTGGCATGTCAGGTAATGTTATTACAATGTTAAAACTACCCTATGTTTGCCTGGTTACCAATTGAATCAATTTACAATATATCTAATTCTTCTCATTATTTGATTTGGTGCCTGTTTCACTTGTAACATTAGCACTGCATGATAGAAATTGCTCAGTGAGATTTGTGGTGTTGTATATCAGGGGTCCTCAAACTTTTTAAACGGGGCCAGTTCACTGTCCCTCAGACCATTGGAGGGCCGGATTATAGTTTAAAAAAAAAAACTATGAACAAATGCAGACACAGTACATGAGATGACCAGAGACTGCGGACATACAACGGCGGCAGGAATACTGGGCCGGCCGCTCCATAAGACGCACAGACATTTCCCCCCAAGTGTGTCTTATGGAGCGATATATACGGTAAATGCAGGACACCTGTCAGATCTGTGTACACTTCTCACACATCTGGGACCCTGGGCTGTCACCAGGATATGAAGGTGACTCCGGACTACACATCCAGGGAGGGGGCATTCCACAGGAGGACCGACACACTCCTCATATATGGAGTACATCCTCGTTATCAGTATTCACCCAAAACTCTCTGTGCTCTGCTTCATACATGCGGGGGTCAGTGTATATAGAATAGATGGGGGGAGAGGGGGGTCAGTGTATATAGAATAGATGGGGGGAGAGGGGGGTCAGTGTATATAGAATAGATGGGGTCAGTGTATATAGAATAGGTGGGGGGGTCAGTGTATATAGAATAGATGGGGTCATGGGGGGGTCAGTGTATACAGTATATATACTGACCCCCCATGACCCCATCTATTCTATATACACTGACCCTCTCCCCCCATCTATTCTATATACACTGACTCCCCCCTCCCCATATTCTATATACACTGACCCCCCATGACCCCATCTATTCTATATACACTGACCCCCCATGACCCCCCTATGACACTGACCCCCCATGAACCATCTATTCTATATACACTGACCCTCCATGACCCCAATCTATTGTATATACACTGACCCCCCCATCTATTCTATATACACTGACCCCCCATCTATTCTATATACACTGACCCCCCATGACCCCATCTATATACACGGACCCCTCATGACCCATCTATTCTATATACACTGACCCCCCCCCCCATCTATTCTATATACACTGACCCCCCATGACCCCATCTATTCTATATACACTGACCCTCCATGACCCCATCTATTGTATATACACTGACCCCCCCATCTATTCTATATACACTGACCCCCCCATCTATTCTATATACACTGACCCTCCATGACCCCATCTATTTTCTATATACACTGACCCCCCCCATCTATTCTATAAACACTGACCCCCCCCATCTATTCTATATACACTGACCCCCCATGACCCCATCTATATACACGGGACCCCCCATGACCCATCTATTCTATATACACTGACCCCCCCCCATCTATTCTATATACACTGACCCCCCATGACCCCATCTATTCTATATACATTGACCCTCCATGACCCCATCTATTGTATATACACTGACCCCCCCCCCATCTATTCTATATACACTGACCCCCCCCATCTATTCTATATACACTGACCCCTCATGACCCCATCTATTCTATATACATTGACCCCCCATGATCCATCTATTCTATATACACTGACCCCCCCCATCTATTCTATATACACTGACCCCCCCATGACCCCATCTATTCTATATACACTGCTCCCCCCCTTCCCCCATCTATTCTATATACACTGACCCCCCATGTATGAAGCAGAGCACAGAGAGTTTTGGGTGAATACTGATAACGAGGATAGACTCCATATATGAGGAGTGTGTTGGTCCTCCTGTAGAATGCCCCCTCCCTGGATGTGTAGTCCGGAGTCACCTTCATATCCTGGTGACAGCCCGGGGTCCCAGATGTGAGAAAAGTGCCGCTCTCCAGACTAACTTGTCCCCTCCTCACCTCCCCCCTCCCAGACTGGCAGACAACATGTCACCCCGGTGTAAATCCCGCTGTAAATCCCCGGCCATCCCCATCCTATCTGATCCGATCATCGCACACAAAGGAGCGGCGCTCTCCCGGCCCCATACACACACATGAAACTTCCGCAGCTCGGAGAGGGCGGAGAGACAGGACACTGCACGCCTCTGCTCGGCGGCTGCCCTCCTGATGATTTTAGGTCGCGACCTGCCAAACCCTAGTCCCTTGCCTCGTGGCAGATGCGCCCCTGCCTGGCGTATAAATGTCCTCGGCGGGCCGCATGTGGCCCGCGGGCCGTAGTTTGAGGACCCCTGTTGTATATGAAGGGGAGCTATTTATATATCTTTAAAAGAATTACATGCATAGACATATGGTACAGCAATCAATTTATCTGTAAGTCATTATACCTGGCATGTTCAGAACAGCCACCTGAACTTCACATAGTGTTAGCGTGTCACTACGGTTTGGTATGACCACTGTGATGTAACGTCCATATATATCCCCACATGGAAATGACCTAGTCTCTCCCGAGGACATTAAAGGTATGATAGCACAGCTGTAAAGAAAGAGGCAAGGGCTGTTAGCTGCAAACCATAGCTAGAAGAACTAAAGCAAAAGTGAAGCTGTCAGTGGAATGCTTGTTAAATCTTGCCTGTGCAATCTGATTGGTCGCAACAAGCAGATTTTCTTATTTTCATACCAGCCATTTACAGTGCCTTGAAAAAGTATTCATACCCCTTGAAACGTTCCACATTTTGTCATGTTACAACCAAAAACGTAAATGTATTTTATTGGGATTTTATGTGATAGACCAACACAAAGTTGCACATAATTGTGAAGTGTAATGAAAATGATAAATCATTTTCAACATTTTTTACAAATAAATATGTGAAAAGTGTGGTGTGCATTTGTATTCAGCCCCCTTTACTCTGATACCCCTAACTAAAATCTAGTGCAACCAATTGCCTTCAGAAGTCGCCTAATTAGTAAATAGAGTCCATCTGTGTGTAATTTAATCTAAGTATAAATACAGCTGTTCTGTGAAGCCCTCAGAGCTTTGTTAGAGAACATTAGTGAACAAACAGCATCATGGATGCCAAGGAACAGACCAGACAGGTCAGGGATAAAGTTGTGGAAAAGTTTAAAGCAGGGTTACGTTATAAAAATATCCCAAGCTTTGAACATTCAAAATGGAAAGAGTATGGCACAACTGCAACCCTACCAAGACTTGGCCGTCCACCTAAACTGACAGGACGGGCAAGGAGAGCAATAATCAGAGAAGCAGCCAAGAGGCCCATGGTAACTCTGGAGGAGCTGCAGAGATCAACAGTTCAGGTGGGAGAATCTGTCCACAGGACAACTATTAGTCATGCACTGCACAAATCTGGCCTTTACGGAAGGGTGCCAAGAAGAAAGCCATTGTTGAAAGAAAGCCAAGAAGTTCCATTTGCAGTTTGCGAGAAGCCATGTGGGGGGCACAGCAAACATGTGAAAGAAGGTGCTCTGGTCAGATGAAACCAAAATTGAACTTTGTGGCCTAAAAGCAAAACGCTATGTGTGGCGGAAAACTAACACTGCACATCACCCTGAACACACCATCCCCACTGTGAAACATGGTGGTGGCAGCATCATATTGTGGGGATGCTTTTCTTCAGCAGAGACAGAGAAACTAGTTAAAGTTGATGGGAAGATGGATGGAGCCAAATACAGGGCAATCTTAGAAGAAAACCTGTTAGAATCTGCAAAAGACTTGAGACTGGGGCGGAGGTTCACCTTCCATCATGACAACGACTCTAAACATACAGACAGAGCTACAATGGAATGGTTTAGATCAAAGCATATTCATGTGTTAAAATGGCCCAGTCACAGTCCAGACCTAAATCCAATTGAGAATCTGTGGCAAGACTTGAAAATTGCTGTTCACAGACGCTCTCCACCCAATCTGACAGAGCTTGAGCTATTTTGCAGAATGCATAAGAATGGGCAAATATGTCACTCTAGATGTGAAAAGCTGGTAGAGACATCCCCAAAAAGACTTGCAGCTGTAATTGCTGCGAAAGGTGGTTCTGCAAAGTATTGACTCAGGGGGGCTGAATACAAATGCATGCCACACTTTTCACATATTTATTTGTTAAAGATTTTGAAACCCATTTATCATTTTCCTTCCACTTCACAATTATTATGTGCCACTTTGTGTTGGTCTAGCACATAAAATCCCAATAAAATACATTTACGTTTTTGGTTGTAAACATGACAAAATGTGGAAAATTTCAAGGGGTATGAATACTTTTTCAAAGCACTGTAAATAAATACCTAAGGGAAAATCATACAGTATAAATGTCTAAATGAAATTTTTTTGTTGCCCGTTCAGTCGGTTTCATCTTCTCCCATTCTCCATTAGCAGTACAAAATAGGAGCATGCAATTGGTTGCTTTTGATATCAAGAGCTGTTTTTTTGCTTTTGTCAATAACCAAGCTTTTTTATTCTTTTTATGTTGTATGGTATCAATTCACTCGTTTTTTTGACATGTATGCTGAATGGAGGAGGAAAGATTAAAGGGATCGGTGATCTCTTGAAGAAGAGTCCATTTCCAGGATATACCTGCCTATTTATGTCCACTTCAAGGGACACATGCGTTTTTTGACCAAACTATATATGAGGTCAAAAACTCCAGGTGAGGGCACATCTGGTGTTTGTGGTGGAGGATTAAAATTGCATGAAGATATGGAATTGTGAAGTTTTTTCAAGTTGAAGAAATCACTATATTTAGAGACTTTTTATCACTGTTTTTTATATAATTTGTCTGCATTCACATATATGTAAAGAAAGCGTGGCACTGTTATGTTAATGCATTGGAATTCATGCACATTGTATGAGTATGTATCAGTGTGAGCTGCTTTTTGTAGTGTATTATTTTTTGATTTGATACACAAGGAAATAGTTTTGTAGTATTTGAGACTGCTTGTGAGAATCTGTTGATTATATCAATAACATTTATTTTTGGTGGTCTCAAAAACGTTACAACATTTTTGCCACAAACTAGGCACAATCTCTGTGCCTTACTTACATTGGGTTATATATTCCATAGCCTTGTATGTCTTCTCCAACATGGATCTCGGCCCCAGACAGAAGGCTTTTCTGGTTGCTCATCTGGTTGGTAATCGTAACATTATTGATGAGATAGCCACGTCTCAAGTCCACTGTCCACCATGGCTGGAACTCATAGGTAGTCTGGCTGCAGGACCCGTACAAGAGGTTGGGATTGGTATTATTATCTATTGCCAGGTAAGCTTCTCCCCAGCCTAGATTGGAGCTGGACTGAAAGGCAAGACCCTGGAGAGCCATATTTGCAACTGGAAAAGAGCATCAATATCTAGTTAACCATTGTTGTCTTTTCATTAAAATCATTCACATATACATACAATAAATAAAAAGTTGCACATTCTTTTGTGCTTATCCAATGTGATTTCATTACATTATTTTCTCTACAAATATGAGCCATTTGTTATGTAGTGTTCAGCATCTTCTGGGGCGTACTGATTGCTTGTGAAAGTGAATCTGTGCACCAGTTTAGTAGTAGTGATTGTTAATAGGATAGAATAAAGGTCTCCTTGTAGTGTGAGCTATGCAAGTAGCATATAGTAGTGTTTAAAGGAGAAGCTCTTTTGGCTGTACTTCTGTAGATCACAGATCTCCTGTAAAATCTGCACTCCTGTGGCCTGTTTTCAGCTGACAGCGGGTTGAAGTCCGCTGTCGGCTGATGTCACTCAGCCTATCCAGCCAGGATTCACCCCAGAGTCTGGAGCGCCACCTGGCTCAGCCTCTCAGTGATCCGCTGAGAGCCTGAGCCACCCGCTCCCTCCCCCTCCACAGCCCAGCGCTCTAGTGAGCGTGGGGGGGCAGAGCAGAGAGCGGTGACTGACAGTCACCGCTCTCTGCTCACAGCAGCAGTGAGAACTCAACGATCAGTGGTCATGTGATCGCTCAGTTCTCACACTTAGAGTGCTGTATCCCCCTAGGCAAGTATAATTTGGCATTAAAAATCATCCCATACTTCTCTTTTAATGTTTTGTGTGCAATTGATCAATATTACATGCAACTCATGTTGCATACACCATAGAGAGGCTGTAAGGCAAACCGGATTCTGAGAATCAAAAAGCTAGTGCAGATTTATGCTCATGGGCATGTGAATTGTACTGTTGCTCATACTTGTAGGTGAAAGAGCAATACCGGATGCACCATGCCAGTTTGGCGCATGTCTGTCCGTGTGTGTATTTGCAGGTAGCAATTTGCGTGCTCCCTTGGCACCCAGCTGCTTATTTAAATGGATGTGTCACTGGGAGAAATTGCTGAATGTCATTCAACTTGTTCTGTGTGTCCTGAGGCCTGATCTGCTGTGTTTACCTACCTGTGTGTGACTATGTATCGCCTTCTCAATAACATACACAAAGCCATTTGACTTTCAACTGTGATCAGCTGTGGTCATTTTGATTAGCTCAGCATGAAAAGAGCTTTCCTGGAGCATTTCAGTCCCCGGTAGTGCAACTGAAGCAAACAATCAACTATGGGAGGTAAGGCACTGTGAAAAGATCTCCTGGATAAGGTTGTGGAGAGGAACAAGTCTTGAGATGGATACAAAAAAATGTGAAAGGCTTTATCAATGCCTAAAAGCACAGTGAAGTCTATTATTAAGAAGTGGAAGGTGTTTGGTACAACACAGACCCTCTCTGGATCAGGCCATCTCTCCAAACTGGATGAAAGAGCAAGGAGGAAACTGGTCAGAGAGGCTACCAAGAGGCCTACAGCAAGTTGCAGGAATTTGTGTGCGTGTGACAATATCACAAATTCTCCACAAATTTGGCTTATATGGGAGGGTTGCAAGAAAAAAGCCACTCCTAGAAAGGCCACACGCAGTCACCACTGAGCTTTGCCAAAATGCAAATTGAAGATTCTGAGGCCCCATTGAAAAAGATGTTATGGTCAGATGAGACTAAAACGGAACACTAAACAATATGTCTTTCAGAAATCCAGTACAGCTCACCATCCAAGTAACACCATTCCTACAGTAAAGCATGGAGGTAGTAATATCCTGTTATGGGGGTGTTTCTCTGCAGCAGAGACTGGACCACTTGTCAGGATAGAAGGAAAAATGGATGGGGCAAAATACTCAAATTCTTGTGGAAAATCTGCTGCCCTCTGCCAGAAAGTTGTCAATGGGGAAAAAGTTTACTCTCCAACATGACAATGACCCAAAGCACACAACAGAAATGAGCACACAGTGGTTGAAGGAGAAAAGGGAAAATGTCCTTGCATGGCCTAGTCAGAGCCCAAACTTAAACCCCATTGAAAATCTGTGGAATGACTTGAAGACTGCAATCCACAAACTTAACTGAACTTGAGCAGTTCTGCAAAAAAGAGCGGGCAAATATTGCAAAGTCCAGATATGAAAAGTTAGTAGAGAGATATCCCAACAGACTAAAGGCTGGAATTAAAGCAAAAGCTGGTTCAACAAAATACTGACACAGCGACTCTGTTTTTTATTTTTTTTTTTTTAAATTTCCTGACATGTTGGTGTTTTATCTTTCACAAACAAAAATACAGTTGTCTGTCTGTCTTCATTTCAGGTTGCATAGCAACAAAATGTGATTATTTTACAGGGGGTGATCCTTTTCTATACCCACAGTAGGTCTGTCCTCATATTACATGTTTTGGTAGATCTAAATGAGATTGTACAATCTAACTATATAGTGTATGGCCAGCTTTTGTTGTCTATTACAACCAAATAATTTAGCAGGTCGCTCTCACTGAGCAATGGTGGCTGAAATATGCCTACTGTGGCAATACTTATAGCTCTTTACACCTATTCCCTTTGTATGACAGAGATATGTATTTGGGTTTGGAACATTGTTCATGCAGACCACACCTCTACTTACCTGCAGCCTCCACACTTGTTTCATCCTTTACAGCTGTGAATTCAAGGATAAAACATCACATTACAATATGCATACTGTATCGATTAATACATACTATTATTATCATTATTACTCTTTTTCTCTAAGGGAGATAGAGGAAATGAAAAGGAGAACTGAGCTGTTTACTAAAGTGGATGAGTGGCGGTATTGTCAACTGAAGCATTTCATAGGAAAACTCCCTAGGCCCTTAAGGAAAAAAGAAAAGTGGAACCCATTTGAACATTTACTTAGTACACGAGGTGATGGGAAACATGGAACTTCAAAAATATATAAAATTATTACAAGGTTGACAACAAACACGATCCCTGCTTATATGGAGAAATGGGAAAAAGAATTAGGTTTTAGGATAGAGGGAGATAAGCAAATAAAGATTTATAAGTTAACACACGGAAATGTAAATATGAAGGATGTAGAGATGAATTACAAATGTTTAGCGAGGTGGTACATGACACCAGATATAGTTCACAAACAAAATAGGGACAATTCACCTTTATGTTGGCGGGGAGGTAGGGAACAGGGCACGATGGTACATATCTGGTGGGAGTGTTATAAAATTCAGGAATACTGGGAGGAAATAATACACTAAATACAGGAAGTGACGGGGATAAAAATACCAAAAGACCCAGGGATATGTCTCTTACATGGAACAGAGCTAACGGTTAAAAAAGTACAAAAATTCTGGGTTATTGCATTATATTAATGCAGCAAAAAGTTTGATCCCCAAATTTTGGAGGGAACAAGAAGTACCAAAAGTATCGCATCGGATAAGAAAGGTGGATCAGATATATAAAATGGAGGAACTGTACCATATAGATGACGATAAAATAGAATGTTTTCGCGAGAAACTGCCAAACCCAGACACATTCATTGGATTGCCAGACAGACAAGCATGATTGGTGACTCCAGAGAACACATCTCCACTGCTTTAGAGTCCAGTGGCAGCATGTTTTACACCACTGCATCCAACACTTTGCATTGCACTTGGTGATGTAAGGCTTGGATGCAGCTGCTCTGCCATGGAAACCCATTCCATGAAGCTCTCTATGCACTGTTGTTGTGCTAATCTGAAGGCCACATGAAGTTTGGAGGTCTTTAGCTATTGACTCTGTAGACAGTTGCCAATTTTTGTGTACTCTGCACTTCAGCATGCGGTGACCCCGCTCTGTCATTTTACGTGGTCTACCAATTCTCATTTTACGTGGTCTACCACTTCGTGGCTGAGTTGCTGTTGTTCCGGTTGCTTCCACTTTTTTACAATACCACTAACAGTTGACAGTGAATATTTAGTAGCAAGGAAATTTCACGGATGGACGTATTCCACAGGTGGCAACCTATCGTGGTACCATGCTTGAATTCACTGAGCTCCTGAGAGCGACCCATTCTTTTACAAATGTTTGTAGAAGCAGTCTGCATACCTAGGTGCTTGATTTTATACACCTGTGGCCTTGGAGGTGATTGGAACATCTGAATTCAATGATTTGGAGGGGGGTGTCCCAATACTTTTGGCAATATAGTGTATATGGGAAGACAATGGGAAGGGTATAAAGTGAGGAAAAAAGAGGGAAGAACTAGGTTTAAAACCTGCTGCATACAGACAAAAAGAGCAAAGTGTGCAGACTAAGTGTATAAACATTAATTAAAGGAAGATAATTAGCAACTAACAAGAAGAAAAACAAATTATGCTTATTACGGTTCTCAAAAGGATTCTTAGCTGGCTTGAAAAAGAGGCATGGGCCTCGAAACATGTAGCCATGATGCTATTAAGATGGCCCTGCTCCCCAGCTGGAAATCCTTTTGAGAATTATGAGAAGCATAAATTATTTTATGTCATGAGAGTTGCTAATTGTCTTCCCTTACAGGGGTTGTAAAGGCTCAAGTATTTTTTACTTTAATGCATTCTATTGAGATAAAAAAACATTCTGGGTGCAGCTCTCCCCCAGCCCCCCTTATACTTACTCAATCTCAACCCAGCTATGTGCATGAAAACAACGGCTCTCCCAGGTATCTCTCTCCTCATTGGCTCACACAGCAGCAGGAGACATACAGAGGAGCGGCTCAGGAGTGGGCCTGCTTGAGTGCCCCCATAGCAAGAGGCTTGCTATTTTATTATTATTATTATACAGTATTTATAAAGCGCCAATAGTTCGCTCAGCGCTGTACATTACAAAGGGGGACATAACATGTGACAGAACAATACCAATACAATGCAAAACACGAGGGGATCGAGGGCCCTGCTCTTTCGAGCTTACAATCTAGAAGGGATGGGATAGTGGTACAGGAGGAGATAGCTGTGGGGGATGGAGTGGTAGGAAGAGTGGAGGAGGTCAGCAAGTTAGCAGGGGGTGAGGTAGGCTTCCCTGAAGAGATGGGTTT